CCGTGAAGCATTTTCTCCTGGCATGCATGCAGTATATACTGCCTGGAGTGCCAGGTGCTGATCACTACTACTCAAGCCATGGGTGTGCATCATCTGAATGTTTGGACTTCTGGTACTTCTGGAGGAGGCAACTTCTGCAGAAAGATTCAACATGCAATAATAAGAGCAACAATCACCTATTTAACACAAACAAATTGTTTGAATTCCCTGTAGTGTATGGGGTGAGCAGTGAGCTCCATCCTGGATTTACCCATGATCAAAACCAGAAGCCCACCCAATACCAAAAGAACCTCCAAGGATCATTGACACATAACGCGTAAACTTTCTGCCAAGTCCAGGTGTAATACGTGGTCATCATTTGGCTACTTCTTCACCTTCAAGCTGGCCACAATAACTACCATCAAACGGGATTAAGAGGGACGGGCGGGGTAAATCGGGACGTGTGCCCCACATTTCGTAGAAATGTTGTAGCAGCTGAACTAATCAAAATATTGCAAAACTAAAAATAGTGGCATAAACTTCAACATTTTTACTATCTATTATGTATAAAGCTAGTCAAGAAATCAAACATTATATCATACATAAGAAATTAATTTAAATCTTGGGTAAATGAGGAATTAAAAATGAACTGATTCTAAAAAAGCTGTGGTTTGCCACTATGCATTTACTATCTCAGAAAAATTGCTGAAAAAAAGTGTGAAAAGTGTGCTTTAGGAAAAGTACCTCTGCCAAGGTCTGGAGCAAAAAAATATTTGCCATATTAAAAAATTTAACTTCCAAGAAAGTTGCACCCAGGTGTCGGCTTGAAAATGTAATTGACGGAATTTGCCTATCTCATTCCAAAAAAATGGCAGCCATTTCCGTGCGATGGGGAAAGTAGGGACACCCCCCCGGGGTAATTAGGGACACCCTTAAAAATGCATTTTCAGTAGAACCTCAGTTAGCAAAGGCTCCAGTTAACAAAAAAATTGATTAACAACAAAAAATTTTGATTACATTTACCTTGCTCAGTGAAAAAAATTCACTTGTTGAAAAATTAGTGCATCATCAGTCGTCACAAAATTGTGCATAGAATGCTATATATAGAATTGTGCACTGGGCATCATAGAATGAAGAGTAATTGACCTAAACTATGATTTATTTCTCCAAAACATATGATGGTTGTCACTATAACATTATTTTCTGTTTCAGGTATGTTTTTCACGATATTTTTTGTTATAGTGAAATCACTTGATTCAATTAAAATTGTGAGAACAAACCATCCTGTAAGCTTACAGATACAGAAGAAATGCTACACGGCTGCTGATATGAAGCTTGCTGTGGACAAGGTCATTGTCAATGCTCAATGGCCTGTTCATGGATATGGTAATATCACATTAATAATACGGTAATTAATGAATATGGTAATATATCAATAGAGGAAAAACAAGTAAAAATCACAGAAAATGTCATTTATTTTACATCTACATCATCTACAATGAAAGACGAGGACTTCAGAGTACTGTTAGTAATGGATGATTACACTCTGCAATCTGCATGCTTCAAATGTTTTGAAATTAACTATTATTGCAAGTGTCCTGGATTATCCCGTTCCCAGGGGTAAATCGGTACGGTATTATTTTGCGTCTGGCACCTTACGAATAGCATATGGAATTTGTTTTAAGATGCCATTCGATAGCCCTCGCAAAGCGCTATAAAATAAGCTTAAACTTGTTTTTGAAATGTTTCATGGTAAGAAGTTATTAACGAAAAACGCTCAAAACCGTCCCCTTTTACCCCGTTTGACGGTAGTTTTCATATTTTTGACTTAACTGTTGATTATTGTTGTTTTATTGTAAGATTAGTATGATATATGTTTATATTAATAATATATGTATATATATATCCTCAGTACTTCCATTTACCTGATTACCTCAAGCTCAAAGTTCATAGATATATTGAAATAGAATATGAATTAACCTGGCCAATGTGGTGGTCATATTTAAGTAATGTTACCCACGTGACACGTCCCACAGTAATCATTACATTTATGATATATATATTCTAATTACTTTTAAAGTCAAGTAATAAATTTGTGTGTATTACATCCTCATTTTTCATGCAATTATACCTCTGTTTATTTCTTAATAGCATCTTATTTTAAGATTGCATCTTATTTTCAGATTATGCTGTACTAAGTGCACTTAATGGCATATTTTACATAAAATTACTTGGCAGTTATTGGGTGGGAGGCCAGAACTAATACCATAAACTTCAGCTACAAGTTGAATGTGAATTGAAGCAGAGAAATTATATCTCACCATCATTAGACATGGCCACTGCAATGTTAGTATGTGAAGTTTGTACAGAAGAATTTGACTCTAAAACCCACAAGCCACTTTGCCTGAAATGTGGCCACACATTTTGCTTCTCCTGCATTTCAAGCTTGATGGAAAATTCTCAAAACAAACATTGCCCCAAATGTAGAAAGCAAATTTCCAAGCCAGCAAAACAAATTCCAGTTAACTACTCAATAATTGCAGCAAATAGCCAAGGATGTAAACGTAAACGATCTCCAGACTCCAAGAAATTGTGCCTCCAACATGCAAAGGTTATGGAATATCTGTGCATTGATTGCATGGCACCCGTGTGTTTCAAATGCTTGACTGACATCCATGCCACACACAAAGCAGAATTGTTGGATGACCTGTGCCAGGAAAATGGTCGTGATGACTCAAGGGCTAAAGTACAGGCTGCATTGAATAACAAACTTCAGAAACTTAATGATTTGGCCTTGGTTGCAAATGGCACCCTGAAGCTGATGAATGATATAACTAACCTGAAGACTGACATAGAGGGATTTAATGTTTCTGTAGAATGTAGATGCCCAGATAAAGTCAATGGAAGAAGATCTCCAGGCCTGGAGCAACATGGACTCTAGTGTTGAGAATGCAAAAAACAAGAGCAGGGAGATGCTGTGTCACATAAATTCAGAATATGAAGAAAATTTAAAGTTGACTGATATCAAAGAGAAGCTGGATGCTGCAACCAAGAAATGCGATTTGTTGATGGTTAGTGAATAGGCTCTTGTATTGGATTGTGCATAATCTCTTAATCAGTTAATGTATCCATTCTTTGTACCAATAATGCAATGGGAGCTATCAATCAATAGCAAGGTGCATGGATGGAATTCTTCTGATAATTAAGTGAAGAACAGCAAAGATTCTTATGGGATGTTCACTGTTTGTTTTTCACCTTGCCCAACTAACAATTTACTTTATGAATATAGACAATAAATAATTGTCATGTGTGCTTCCCTGCCAAAGAAATACTTGGGTTTGGAAATGGGTCCCATTTGCAGTAGGTAATTGGTATATCTGAATTCTTTTTAAATATTCTGGTATGAATAATAAGTTTATTACTTGAAAATATTTCTGGTACTGTTGTCTGTTGCTGCATAGAAACATTGCATTGAAATCTTTTGTGCCTCAGCCGAAGAGCTGATTATGATCCAGTCTATCAGTTGAGTTTGAAAATAAGATTTTAAGTGCAGTTCTAGTTTCAGGTGTCAACTATGTTCAATGAAGGGATGCAGAAGCTGCCTATCAAAATTATTTGGAAAATTTCAGTAAAGTTATGGTTTTTTAGTTTTTTTTCTAATGTATAATTCTCGTTTTCTTTTTTAAAATGATTGCTACTTATTTAAAAAAAGATACACATTAAAAAATTATATTAGTGGAACACAGACAACTTTTAGTTCAACTTACTAACGGAGAATTTGAATTATGAATGTTCTTCTTTCAACTGTTGACAGGTACCAACAACTCCATCACATGAGCTCATGCCAAATGATACACATTGGACTGTGACTGACCTGAGTTCTTGGAAACGAGCTATTGCAAGCCTAATCAATGAGAGGAAGCCAAGTACACTCACAGTCGTGTCCACTCACACAAGCCCCATCCCAGGGCTGCGACTGCTCCTGTCCAGCCTTACAGAACACAATCTCCGCAACATTTACTTGATGCCAATGGACTCCTTCTGGAAACCAGCCGGACAGACAAATGATGAAATAGGAACCATCATCAAAGAGTCGGGGTAAAAAAAACTTATACATTTTGCCTTGGCTGCCATTCATATACGTTTTGAAATTATATTATATCTTGTCATGATCAATACAAATGCTGTGAGAATGTTTGTGTTATTATTAAAGATTTAATCCCTGTGGTTACAGAGACCATCTCAAGGTGTTGTATGGCACTCCTGCCCAAATTCTGGCCTACAGCATCAAAGAGACTCGTATGCCCAAAAGGCTTGGTGTTCGCCTCTCAAGCATGAAGGATGTGGAGCGCTGTGCAGAAGTGGCCCGTGTGGGAGCATCAGTTCGTAAGATCAATATTTTTCCTGTACTTGTTGACACAGACAATTTTTTTTATTTCAGGATTCATTTGTTTTAAACAATATTTGTTGCACATATGGGCTGATAGATTTTTCCTGAAGGACAAAAGGTACCAATAATAGGGTGACATCTATTTCTGTTTTAAATTTTTTATGTAATCCTGTAAAAAAGTGAAATGGCATTTGAAAATGCCCGGAAAACTTGTTAAATTATGTTGTAGGTATTTTTCATTTATATTATAGCTCTCCACCAGTTGTGGTTAAATAAAATCAATTGAACTTCTTTATTGTGAATTGCGAGGAACTATTTCATTAACAAAAATGAATTTGATTTAATTTCTAATCTTAATGTTAATATTCTCCTGTTTTCCTGTATTTTGTCCTCTTTTCAAAATTTATTTGTCAAGAGATTTCAAATGTTTTGGTGAGTATTAAAGTCTGTATTCTTGATCCCTTTTATATTGATTTTGAACAAATTTTGATAATCCCAAGAAGTACTTCTCCACTTCCTCATTGATGTACTTGATTTGTTCAAATTCCTTCCATCTTGGATAATAAGGCCAATTTATCCAAACCTTGGTCACTTGTGGACACTTGAATGAAGCTACTCTTCTAGGGGGCTAAGGAAATACACACTGAATCAAGTTGTATGCAGACAACCTTGCATGGTAACAATCCAGAGACTCGTGAGACTGGGAACCCTGCAGTTGCGGCACAATGGATTATTATTCAATAAATTAATTACCATGTTATAAAAAGAACAGCAGTGTCTGCATTGACTGGGCTGTTAGGCCTGTTGCTGATTCCTAACATGGCAGAATATTCACAGCTTGCTGCAGGTTATGAACATACAACTCACTGATCCAATTTAGCTTTTTTATCCATTTGGCCACCTCACCAGTTTGACCAGAACTGCCTCAGGTAACTTGGATTGAACCCACAACTCACTGCTCCAATCCTGGTACTCTGAACTGTAACCATTAGGCCGCTCTGCACTAAATGCGTCTATCTATATTCAATTTATATGCTCATATATACATACATTTATTACCTATATGTTTATAAATTCATTTAAATGTGTCCAACAGGTGATGTTTGCTTCGTGAGAGGAGTTCCGAACAGCACTGGTCTCCATGTACACAATCTTCGCTGGGAGCCGCGCCGCTGGCACTTCCCTGACTTGAAAGACAGCGACTTGGACTGGGTCCTGGCCATTCTGTCTCCCGTCCTTTTTTCCTATATGTATGTATTTCAATGCTGGCATTAACTATTTCCTTGCTTCCAGTACATAGCAAGAGTTAGATCCATCAGGATTCTCGCCTCATAAGTTGTGTCAAATCTGCTATTATAATAAGCTAATTAATTATTTTTGTCTCATTTCAGGTTCAGTAATAAGATAATGAATTATTTTTGCCTCATCTTAGGTTCAGTAATAAGATAATGATTTATTTTTGTCTCATTTTAGGTTCAGTAATAAGAAAATGAATTATTTTTGCCTCATTTTGGGTTCAGTAATAAGATTATGAATTATTTTTCTCTCATTTTAGGTTCAGTAATTAAATAATAAATTATTTTTGTCTCGTTTCAGGTTCAGTAATAAGGTTATGAATTCTTTTTGCCTCATTTTAGGTTCAGTAATGAGTTAATGATATATTTTTGTCTCATTTTAGGTTCAGTAACAAGATAATGAATTATTTTTGTCTCATTTTGGGTTTAGTTCAGGGAATTGAATTTTCTGGCCAGCATGGCTATTATACATATCTCATAAATGCACAGGAGATTAGAAATACCAGACAATAGGAATATTTGAGAAGCATTTACTGAAAGACAGACCCAGAAATTTAGTAGCCAGCAAGGCTTCGGTGCTTCATGAGGTCTTCTGTGTAAAGAAGCTACAGCCTCAGTCATGAGGGGAGGTTTTGATACGTAGGGCTTATTGCCTTATCTCCGACGCGGTGTATTGTTAGCCTGCATCATGCACTCAAGTGCACATCATGCACTCTCATGCACTCAAGTACACATCATGCACTCAAGTACACATCATGCACTCAGCACATCAGGCACTCAAGTGCACATCATGCACTCAAGTGCACATCATGCACTCAAGTGCACATCATGCACTCTCATGCACTCAAGTACACATCATGCACTCAAGTACACATCATGCACNGCGTTTCTTTGCCGTATTCACCGCTTGGCGCACTTGTTGTATTTAATTGCGTGGTAGAGATCTGATCTTGCAGAATACAGACTAATATGCTGGTGTTAGTGTGATGACCTTCTCAGTCTGTATGAACGACACTGAAAACTATGCCCTGTTGAAGTATATATGCTGAGTAGGATTGTATATTAATAAGTTTAACGGGAACCACGTTTTTCATTGTTCTTCTGTCCAAATGTCCTTCCGAATATGGTATTAACAAACAGCTGCAGCTCGTGATTCCATTAACAAATTAACAGCTGGGTTAACATAACATTACTTTTAATCCGGCGATTGCCTTACCACTTGACTGGCCGAGCTTCTTGAACGATGGCAACCCTAGATTTTTGCTCGCATCTCTCTTCATTGTGAATATTATTAATATCATGTTATTGTTACTCAATATTAACTTATGTACGTCATATTTACACCCTCCCTGAGATTTAGCCACAAATGTGAATATTTGTCACGTATATAACCTATATTTAAGCGATTGCGTGATATTTTGCGTGACAAGGCACATCGCTACTTAAATCATTCGTATTTTTAACCTGGTTCAACCAACGCACGATGAAGCTACTTAATTCAAAGACACAAAACGTGCTGCTGGATCTTTATTTTATGTGGACATGGGCTGATCTGAAATAAACATTTTTCTTTTTTTTCGGAGGGGGTGTGTTGAAAATGTAGTCTATTAAGTCGAGATCGATCGGCTGATCGTGACTGGAATTATGACTTAGTAATGAAATGTTATCTCATTGCAGTGATTGTGACCTGGTGCTGCCGAGGGACGGTCTTTCTCGGACTGGCGCTCGTCGGCTGTTGGAGCTCGCAGAAGAATGGCCCAATATGGCCATATACTGCGAGCCGCACTCCAAGTTCATGACGTGTAATAATACTGCGATTGAATGTTTTGAGTTGTCAACCATCAGCATCATTCATTGGATACTACCAGGCAATTAGAACTTAACTGGCAAACAGATGCAACAAATGGTTTACAGTTATCTCAGTTCATGCGAGAAAGTGTCCTGAATTTTGGCGTCTACGCATCATAAGGGCGCTTGTATTTCTAATTATTTTATAGCCGGAGCACGTGCATGTCGTGCCTAGTCTTCCCAGTGGGACATTTTCTGCCATGGAGATGAGTTGGCAGGAAGAAGTTAGCGTCGGTGGTGTGAAAGAAGCCGCGTTGAAGCCTTATGTGCCCAATACCTGTAGACTTATAGAGCTTTGTTTCTCAATGGAAATCATTGGGTTGGTACCTATTATACCTGTAGACTAATAGAGCTTTGTTTCCAATGGAATTCATGGTGTTGGTACCTATTATACCTGCAGAATAATAGAGCTTTGTTTCTCAATTAAAATCATTGGGTTGGTACCTATTATACCTGTAGAATAATAGAGCTTTGTTTCTCAATTAAAATCATTGGGTTGGTATTTTATGAGTCACTTTAGTTAATGATCGGAATATCCTCGGTTGAATCACGATCATTTAGTTACTCTTCTTAGCTAGTGGTGTTGTTTGTAGCTCTGTGTTTAGTCTAGACCTGTTCACGCACGACGTTGAAGCCGAACTTTCCTTGATGAAGATCTTCTGTTTGTTCCTTCAAGTGGAATTCCCTTTTTATAACACTGTTGAGCCAATTTGCTGGGCAAACTGAGTCAGGATGACCCACTCAAGAGCTAAGTATTGATAGACAAAGTATCGCTCGTGCCTACGAGGAGAGCCCTGGCACCGTGCGTCCAGGATGCAGCGACATCGATTTTTGTGAAGGGCTGTAAATATTGTACCTAGAAATATGTACATATGTATAATATTGAAGGGCTAGAAATATTGTACTTAGGCCTGTCGCTCTCAGGTCAACTTTTCAGTGCAGTTAGCGTGCGTCTGGAACTTACTGCACAACTATGGGACTTGGACAAGAATTGTCTTGGGACTTTTAATCAGGCTGTCGTTGAGACTAGCACTTGAGTTTTTCACGGTGATCATAAGTGCAACAATTAGCGTATCTTGAAAATCTTTACACCTCAAGAGGTCTTTCGACGTGTTAATGCCCGTCATGAGTGAAAAGCTTCAGGGAAGGTTATAAGGGTAAGTTCTTTCTCTACACGGGAACCAAAAACGGCGGTTAAATGTATAACTACCTGGCTGTGTATATATTACGTCAATCTGAGTTCTGGTGTGAGTTTTTTTATCAATTTAAATTACGTTCGCGCCTGGCATCGTAAATTTGCCGTATTTTATGTTTACTTTTTTTCACATATCCTACTTTTACTGTATATGACGATTTGGAAATTTAAGCTTGTGTACCCTTCAGATAAGTCCAAACTCCATCGGTTTCTGATGTCTCTCTCGAACAACAGTTTGGTTTTCAATAAAATAGTCTCATTTAATTGCTGATTTAACTCGAGTTTATCAACCTTATTGTTTTTGCTGCTTTCTCTCAAGCGATGCTGTTTCTACGATGGGGATTTTTGCTTTTCCCAGGAGTCAAGTTTTCTCTTATCTTCTCTTCCTGGCAACATGAGCTTTGTGCTTACGCAATGCGTTCGTATTGCGATGTTAGCCTTCACCACGTACCACGTGAAATATGTTGTTGGGCTCTGATGCTTGAGCTTTTCTGGTGGATTAATTGTGAAATTGCTTTGTAATTTCACATTCTGGATGGAATTAGAGATACGATATCTTATGATCTCATATGTATGATATAATGTACAATTTTTTCCACATCGATCGGTCACTCTTCATGTAAAAATATTTGCTTGTATTTTAAATACTATACGCGATGGGCTAGCGCGGTGCTGCTTCATCTCCCTACAATGACACACAAGCCATCACTCCTCATTAACAACTATATAATAATGTTCAGAACTTTTTATTTGATATTATTAACACATAATAATTAGAATTGGCTGCTGCGTTTTAAATGCTGACAAATTCAAAGTAATCCACCTTGGCAAGAATAATGAACAGAAAGATTACAGTATGAGAAGACATGGGTGCAAGGACAGAGTGATGATGTCGAAGTCGACAATGGAAAAAGATTCAGGAGTTAATGTCGACAATGAGTTGAAATTTTCTAAGCTTATTGAAGCTCAAGTTAATAAAGCCAATCTACGACTTGGACTGATAAACAAACCAATCTACATCCCTGCATCGTTCAGCCAGGCGATCGTATAGGTCAGTGGTTCCCAATCTTTTTCAGGCTGGCGCCCCCATTGGCTCCCTAGTGAATTTCTAGCGCCCCCCACAGACATACGCCTCTTTCTTGAAATTTAGTACGCTGCAATTTTAAAAGATAAAGGTTAAACACAAATGTGTATTTCACAAATAGGACCCATTTAGTGAACCAATATGTTTTTCAGCTGTTTTAACTGTTTCAGCAATAGAAACCTAGGACGTCTCGGGCGAATTTACGGCCGGACTCGTGGCCGGTCTCACGACCGATCTCCAAACTCAATTATCAAGTAATATCTCCCAAACTAGTGAACGCAGCTCTATGAAACTTGGAGCATGTATTCATCAGAACCCAACGGTGATGTTTAGCTCGTAATTTTTTATAATTTCACCTTCATTCGTGAGTTACACGTATATTGCGAAACAGGCCGAAATTCGCAGTGATCAAAGAATTTTTTCCAAACTATTGAACAGATTTGAACGAAATTTTGAATATACATTCCTAACTACCAAACGGCGATTTTTAGCTTATAAAATTTTTCGATTTTACCTTCGTCTGCGAGTTTTATTTTTCATTTCACCGTCATTCTTGATTTCACACTTCCTTATATTCGAATATAACGATGTTTTTGCCATATGGCAAAAACAAACGATGGCAAAATTCAAACAATTTTCACGATCTTGACATTATTGTTAGGTCCTAATGAATACGCGTACCACGTTTCATCGAGTAAATTCATTAGTTTGAGAGATATTCCTTGATCATTGAATTTGGAAATTGGCTGTGAGATCGGCCGCGAGTCCTGCCGTTAATTTGTCCGAGACGTAAACCCAGGAGAGGTTAAGAAAAGGGATCTGGGTGACAAAACCATCGCTGGGAGTCATGTGCTGCACGTGTTGTGTACAAATCGTCAAACAAACGTACGAACTTATGACATCGAATTCGGACTACCGCCCCCTATCGCCCCCCTACCGCCCTCTTCTTCCTTAGCGCCCCCCAAAATCTTTCCACCGCCCCTAGGGGGGCGAAATCGCCCACTTCGGGAACCACTGGTATAGGTCCTCCCCATTGGCCAAAGTGATGAACGAGTTCTGATTTATCTTTATTACAGATTAAATCCAAGCCTTGGTAAACACCGAAACCAGAAACGAGACACTTTCGAGAACTTGGACTGATCAGACGCTCTTTCGAGTATATGGATACAGAAGCGATGAAGCTGTTGTTTGTCGCTGTCGTGCGTCCGAACCTAGAGTTTGGAAACGCAGTGTTGTCACCGAAACTTGAAAAGGACAAAAATTTAGTCGAGAGTGTTCAGAGACGTGCAACAAGGATAATTCCGGGATTAAAAGGCAAGCCTTGTGCAGAAAGATTAAAAATTATGAAGCTTCCAAGCCTCCGTTATCGACGTCTGCGTGGGGACCTCATTGAAGTATACAAGTATACCCACGGTTTATACAAGGTCCCAGAAGGATTACTAGAATTTGGAACGAGAACCAACACCAGGGGCCACGGCTATAAACTAAAAAAACTGCATTGTAACACATCCATGCGACAACATTTCTTCTCGCTTCGAGTCACCGACATGTGGAACAGCCTCCCTGATAGCATCGTTGACGCTTCGAGTATGAACGCCTTCAAGAACAGAATAGACAAAGCTATGCCTATGCAGCAGCATATCTTCAGTCTTGAAATGCCTAGCATCTTACGGACCAGGGAATAAGTCCAGCAGCTATCTCAATCAATCATCAGTTATGGAGAGATCGGGTTCAAATGGCCGGATCCCTTGTGAATCAAGTCAGGAAAAGTACAAGAATCGGAAACAGGGGGGGTCGCCTGCCGAAGACCACAAATCAAACGTGCATAAAAGAAAGCCTCTGATGAATTACACCAATATGATCAGGTAACATTATCAGGTAACATACACCACTAATCGCACAAATGCGTGCGATTAATGACGAGAGGATTTGTTGATTTAAATGACCGTATCGACACTTCTGCAAAATTCTAGCAAATCCGTTCAGTATTGAAGGACTTATGGCTGGTTACTGGTTGGGTTGCCTAAAAATTATTTTTTTTTTCGTTTTAATTGAAAACGAAGTAATGTGAAAATCTGTGATAATTCCCATGGTTGAATTAATACTGAATAAAGAATATTAATTCAACCATGATAGTTCCTATCGTTCGAACGAGTAACGAACGAGTTACTCTGTGGTGTCATGGTCGACGTCGACCGATAGCAGTTGGCTTGAGACAGTGCCGGAGGTGCTACGGTCGTCTCGATGCTATACTACTAACCTTCGATAGATCTCTCAATTGCTGTTAATTCAGTTGTTATTTTTGAAAAGCTAAGTTATTGAACATTCTTTAGTTCTTAACTCAAGTATTCACTGTGAAAATAAAATTGCAATTTCGTTCACTTCATTTAGTTCATTACAAAATACGCAGTCGCGTGTGAGTGTGACGGGCTTATCTTTGTAAGTTTGTTATTTTCAGCTGACGTGTGACTTACAGAGATTAATTATGCACGTCCCATATCATTGCTTCACCCACGTCACAGGCGAGACGTTATCTCTCGATGTTATGGTGTTTTTTCCACCATTTGAGTGCCTCTTCTGTTCCATTTCGCGACATCAGTGTTATTTTCACGAGTGCTCCTTAAATTGAACCGTTTTCTTCTGAAAACGATTTTTTTGCTCATATTTTTAGCCTGGCTCACTAAGCGAAATGGAAATGTAGATTTCAAAACTTCGAATTGCCATTTCTTCACAGCCCGAGATATAAAATTTAGAACTTGGCAAGAAGATGTTCCGCACGTAGCTAATTTTCTGGCATTAAAGAAGCGGGTGATCGATGAGTTATTAGACTAAGAGTTTCAATTGAGAAAGGAGCAACGATATCACCACTTACCAGCATTCACTCCTACGCTCCTACAGAGAGCTTTGTTAAGTTAGAATTCGAATAGAAGCAGTGGTACCTAACTGGTAAGTGGTAAGGACTAATGAGTAGACTGGTGGCTCTCTTATGAAATTTAGTAGAGTCCAAAATTTCGTTATAACTGATGGGCTATTGCAAAGGTTCAAAACACCGTGAATAAATTTTTCACGTGAATTTTATTCTCCGTTTGATGTTTGTGATGGAACATGGTTGAATGCATTGTTTCTTGCTCATGTATTAGTGTTGCCAGTTAGTTTGTAATTGCGCCAACAGTTGACGAAAACTTAGTGTGAACCCTTCACAACCTAACTACAAACGTTGTCACGTTCATACGTTGACACAAAATTAGTATTTAATATTACGCTGCAAGGAAGACTCGATAAATTATCTTTCCCTATCGTTAAAATCATAATAAAATAATATACACGAGTTGAATTTTGTCCTAAATATTCAGTTGGGCTAAGACCAACGACGTCAATGCAACAGAGGTAAAATAAAGTATTTTTTTGTGCAATACTCACTGTTCGAGGAATTTTTGTATGAGATCCGCACCGGATTTGCCTCCTGAGTGCCCAAACTTTCGGTACACAAACAACATTCTGGGCCTTGTATTTTGACTCCAGGTTGAAATACACCTGCGAGTGGGTGGAAAATACATTTCCACCACGCCTACAGGAAGGCTGGTGGAAATTGTGCGACTGCAATCGCACGCAGCTGAAACCACTTCAAATGCAGTATAAAATTGCCGAGTTGTTACACTACTAATTTTTGGGTTGGAATTTAATGTTCTAACCAGACGAAAAATGAGCGTTTAATATGCCTGTATTATTTAAACTTTCTGTATTAAATTTTGCTCCCTCAGAAATTATTCCAAGACAATAATTTGCAGTAAAACATTTCTTCTGTTGTTCGACTGTACGTTTGAGCAAGACTAATTTTTACGTAGCATTGAAGCGTTTAGTTGCGAGCTGAAGTTCTGACTGAGACCGCCTTGCCTGAGCGCGCGAAATGAAGAGCTTAGCCCGCCATACGGGACCGAGCGGTGAGGAGCCTGCGCATGCCTGCGGTGAGGAGCCTGCGCATGCGTGCGGTGAGGAGCCTGCGCATGCTTGCGGTGAGGAGCCTGCGCATGCTTGCGGTGAGGAGCCTGCGCATGCTTGCGGTGAGGAGCCTGCGCATGCGTGCGGTGAGGAGCCTGCGCATGCGTGCGGTGAGGAGCCTGCGCATGCGTGCNAGCCTGGACACACGCACGGTGAAGAGCTTGGGCATCCACTGGCTAAGGAGCCTGCAAACTCTCACGTTGGGAGGCAAGGGGAAAAACGAGCTGAAGAGCCTTGGCATCAGTGTTCTAAAAAACTTGAATTGACTTCGTATTTCAACGATTCAAATTCGCCTACGCAAACGGGAACGAACCAAGCTTCGATGTCGTCGCAAAACAGCGTTCCGTTCACCGACATTTCGGAGTTCAAAATTGTGAAAATTTTGCGCCACGATCGCTTCTGCGTTGACCTGCTGGTCAGACATGACGCTCTGCCTGCCATGGCCACGATTCGCTTGCAGGTAAGAATTTTTCTTCCATTGCAAATGTGCTGATTCATGCGATTCTGTTCATAAGTTCCTCAATAAGTGAATTGCTACAAATTTTGTATCTGTTTAGAGCCAACTTCTTGGCAGCAGTTAGCAATCTTTGAGTCAAGAAAAATTAAACAAGCAACCATTTCCATTATTTAACATGAGAGTTTCTCTTCGTTATTGAACATGAGAGTTTCTCTTCATTACTGAACATTAGTGTTTCTCTTCATTATTTAACACATAACTATTTAAGATGGTGTTGACTGTATTTCAGAAGACGCGTTTCGACGTTGACGAGCGCAGGCTGCAGGAGGTGATCGCCAGCTGCCGCTGCCTGAAGGAGCAGCTGCGCAACGACGTCTTCAGCCAACACACCGCCCACCTACCGCCCCCCCTCAACAGTGAGCACGCTAGTGAGCAGTGCGCAGCACGCTAGTGAGCAGTGCGCAGCACGCTAGACCGTAGTAAGCAGAACGCTTGACCGTAGTGATCAGTGAGCAGCACACGACCGTAGTGAGCAGTGAGCAGCACCATACACCGTACTGAGCAGTGAGCAGCACCACACACCGTACGTGTGTTCGGGACTCGCATGTCTGTTCGGACTATAACAAATTTAGGTACAAATGTTTCATCCGTCTGAGAGGGTTTAAGCTCTTGAAGATTAACTGTTTGAATCTTATGGACAGGTTGTAAGTTAAAGAGTCGTAGCAAAATTGTGTGGGTCTAAATTCCAAACTAGAATAAATTTAATCTTTTCACAAGTATATTGCAGAATTATTTTCATTATGATGGATCCCAGTTAATCAAGTTACACCATTCCTAACATTAACGGTAATGATGCCAAGGCCACATTGACTGCGTGTAGACTTTGTGCTTCTATATAGTTCCTCCGGTGCTTCATAAACCATCGCACTGATGGTTTATGACAGATGGTTCGGAATGAGCAGTGAGCAGCACACACCGTACTGAGCAGTGAGCAGCACACACCGTACTGAGCAGTGAGCAGCACACACCGTGCGTGTGTCCGGGACTCACATGTCTGTCCGGACTACAACAAATTTAGGCACAAATGTTTCATCCGTCTTGCAGGGTTTAAGCGCCCAAAGATTAACTGTTTGAATCTCATGGACAGGTTGTAAGTTAAGTAAGCAAAATTGTGTTGGTCTAAATTCGAATCAGAATAAATTTAACCTCTTCGCAAGTGATAATATAATTCTGTTGCATAATTATTTTCATGATAATGGATCCCAGTTAATCATTCCTTACATGAGCGGTAATGATGCCAAAGCTAAATTGACAGCGTGTAGACGTTGTGCGTCTGTAAGTTCCTCCGGTGCTTCATAAACCATCGGACTGATAGTTTTGTGACAGATGGTTCGGACAGATGGTTCCTCACACAGGAAACACTTGACGACAATCTGATGGGAAAAATTTAGAACTTTACAAACGGTAGTGGCTCTGGCCCAAAAAAATTAAACCTAACCTAACTTGAGAGATTTAGCGCGTGCCTGTCATATTTCACTTGATTTCTTTGCAGAAGTGGAAGTCTCCATCAAATATCCTGTTGCTAAGTATGAACTCGAGGTGTTCGAATCCCATCACATGGTCATAGTGAAAGAAACAGCGCAACTCTACGAGTCGCACTCCAAGGGCTACATCTGTAGGAAAAAAGCTTCGCATAAAAAGGTGATTAAATGTAACATGTTTGAAATTCTGATAACAACTTACTGCCTTTCCTTTTTCTTTTGAAATACTTTGTCATCTTAGAGAAAAAGTTAGATTATGATGCTAAAATAGAATAGATTTCGATTTTTAAATTTGAATGATTAAAAAGTTACATAGTAACTTAAAAAAAGTAATTAAACATTGAAAAAGTTAGATTAATAATATCGCTTTTGCTCAAATTCCACCCTTCCTTGCAGTGGATCCTGAACATACTTGAGGGCAATTGCGAGGCGAACCGCGTGATCCTGCGAGACGCCGACCCCCAGCTCGGCTTCGTGCTCATCAAAGACATCAAGTGGACGGACGAGTGTGCGGACAACCTCTTCTGCCAGGCCATCGTCAACCGCAGAGACCTGGCCTCCATTAGAGACCTGACGGGGGACTGTCTGCCGCTCCTCTACAACATCCGCGACCAGGGCACGGTGAATATTGCACAGATAATCCTTATATCATGAAATTTACCAAATGTTGTTCGACAATGTTATACGGTACCATATATCGACCATTTCTCCGACCATAATTGCACTTTAGGTTCCTTCGTGAATTTCGAGGCCTTTGCTCCATCGCCGTGCTCGACGTTGATGACGCATGCTGAGACGGTAACATCAATAGATATTTCAGAATAACAAGACATTGCATTTATAAAAATCAATTAATTGAAAAGTTATTTCTATTCTGACTTCAGTAACTTTGCGCTGCTTCATAACAGTGTTTAAACAAACCGAGATTTGATTGAAACCCATGCACCGAGAAAGTGTAAACAAATTAAAGTTTGATATAATTCTTTCAAAGATATATGTTTTGGTGGGGATTTCTTCAACGATTTCTCAGCTCAGTTTGTTCCGTTATATTTGTCTTGACAGCTGGACTGGTCCCACAGGTGGCCATTGAGGAGAAGTACGGGGTGAAGGCAGACCAGCTGCGCGTGTACCTGCACTACCTGCCTTCCTTCTACCACCTGCACGTGCACTTCGCCTCCCTCAGCTTCTGCCATGAAGGTCAGCGTAGAGTTCCGTCAGAAAAACCCTAATTAGTTGAATAATTTAGCCCAATACATACGCCAGGTCGAGATGTGGGAAAGATAAGTTCAACACTTATTACTACGTGGCTCATTAAAAAAAAGTAACATATCACAACAACGCGGTTCACATCAGCAGGAAGCTATACGAGAGGTACAGGTAACAAACAAGGCGCGCTTTAGGCAGTGTAAGAGGACGGACGGTGCACACGTACTGCACCTCTGCTGAGGTGCTCGGCTGATGAGGAATTGAAGACACGCTCCGACCGGCATGCATGTTAGTGGCCAGTATTGCCAAACACCGCCATCACTAAAATATTCCTTACACTGCGCAAGCCTGCGACAGTGTAGAGCATCCTGAGAAGTTGAGTCCTCCATATCTACTGCTCATATCTTTATAGTCTTCAGCTGCCCATCAGCATGGCTCCACCTCCACACTTATCCTGACTCTCGACCCCAAAAATTTTTTCCTAACGTAACCTGAACTCGCTGGCTGTAACAAGGTTGATAAGCTGGGCAAGTGGAGGGCGTAGCCAGTCATTGGCTGCGGTCAAGTGGAGAGTCGGGGTAAGTGTGTGGAGTTTAGGGCATGATGGTGTTAAAAATCTATGAAAAATTTACTAGCATTGGCATTACCTACCGATTTAAGGCAGTATAGCTTCAAGCCGTTAGAGAATTGACGTTCTATAAGTTGAGCGTTGGCTCTAGGCCTCGTTTATGAGTTAAATTTGTGGCCAACGGCTGCTCTCTCCTCAAACCTAGTCTCACCTGTGTAATAAATGAGATTTGAATTAACGCGCAGGAGCGTCATAGTTGAATGGACTATTAATTGGGAAGGTTATCGATTGCTGGTAAAAACTCTTGAATGCCACGCATCAGCCAGTGCTTGCGTAGGCAACATTTCAAAGATTGAAATCTTATATATATATATTTGTCAAAGTTTGTATGTGCGATAACAGCAAATGTCGGAGTCCCACTTCACACCTAACTCCAGCCCAACCTCTTCTGGCCTAACCCACAATCGTTGCAACATTTCTCCACCTAAAACAATCCTGAGCGGACCTAACCTTACCTTACTAACTGCAAGAAATCGGAAAGGAGGGACAAGTGACCTGATATAGTCAGATATTAACTGCTAAAAAGTTACGAAACGGGGCAGCGAGAACAGGTTTAAGTTGTTGTTGCTGCGGTGCCACTAAGAAAGACTGGAAAAGAAGAGCTAGGTGGCGCAGAGTGGTCAGCGGCTTCTAGCTTCATGAGTAAAGTTATCACGCTGAGACTGGGCGTTGACACTAGAGGCGTGGCAGTCGCACACCATCTTGAAACACTGCGTTAGTTCATTTTGACCTCATGCACTAAAAATAGTTAAATGAGTCGCGTTTACCCTCGGGACCTCATTGGATGAATGAAATAACATTTTAATTGCTAATTTTACTGTAGTAAAATTAAAAAGAAAATACGTTTGTAGTAAATAAAGAATAACCTCCATTGTACTTTCAGGCTCAAAATGATAGAATGACTAATAACTAATAATTGCTTTGTTTATTTTAATTCGATTGTATAAAAATACTTGTAGTATCATTCAACTTTGTATCATAATGACTTGTATCATAATAATTTTATTATTCTTGCACTTTACAAATTTTGCAAGTTATTATACTGGGCAGGGTGGCCCAGTGGTTAAACTTCAGAGTACCAAGATTGGCTCAGATAGGCGCGGGTTCGATCCCAGCTCATGTGCGCCAGTTTCTGGTCAGAATCGGCAAGGAGGCCGGGCGGTTAAGCACAACAGAATTGTAGCAGTGAGTTGCGAGTTCGAGACCGCAAAATGCTGTGAATGTTCTGCGATGTTAAGAATCGGCGACAGGCCTACGGCCTCATAAACGCTGAAGCCGCTATTATTATTATTATCATATTATTATTATTATTATTATCTACTTCTCGGCGACGATGCACTTCCCACATATGGAACGTTTGCATTTGTCGCAGTTTTTGCTTGTTTTATTTCTCGTAATCTTTGCTCATTTCATAGCACAGTTCTGTCGCTTTGTTGATACTGGAGGTTCTAATTTTCCTATTCCAGCATCAGCATTGTTGTATGAACCCTCTGCAGTATCTGGCGTAGAGATTTTGTTGAGTTATTCTATAGGCACAAACAAAAAGTCACGCCTGCTCACTTTAGTTCCAAGTATTTCATTACGAATATTTAATGTAAAAAGCCTATGTAAAAGCATATGGCCATAAATATTTAGGACCTGTTGGTGCGCGTATCCCCGATAGGCATTGTTTCAAGATTTGGCCGTACCTGAACATTTCGTTAAGCTTCGATTAAGCGTTGAACCACGGCGTAGCGAAGCCGTTGAACCACGGCGTTGAACCACGGCGTTTGAACCTGGGGCCATACTTTCAAAATTCGCTAAGTTAACGTAAGTATTTACGCTCTGTTTTCTTGTCTATGATTGGTGGATTTTGCTTGAAAGGCCGTCAATGATTGGCTGATGAACTTACGATCTCTTAACTTTTTTTGAAAGTATGGGCCCTGATTCGTTTGTTTGAATTGCTGGCGGGAACTAGCTCTAGTTAGCAGGTCATTACATGCGAATGACATCAACGACTGATTGTGCATTAGACTACAAAAGGTGGATGATCTTTTCCTATCAAGACTACGTCTCGCTGCGACTTCTCGCGCGATGCATTTCTGGCATACAGCTCCCGATAAGGTTTTTTACACGAATGTTTCAGTTAGCTGCTTTCCGGTGCCATTCGTACAGACCACTCAAGGAGAGATGCAGGCCATGGCGAAGGGAGTGCTCGAACCAATGTCGGACACTCACAGGGAACTTCGTCAACAGCAGAAAAAACTGTTCCTACTTCTGGGATATTGTTTTTTTATTAATTAAGGCTTGTATATTGTATATTTAAATGTGCCTATTGCTTTATATTCTAATACGCTTCACCCTCAGCGTTACGTGATCACAATTACCTAATATTAAGATTAATTAGAACATCTGGTTTCACTACTGACGAAGGTAGCACATTATTTCAAATTCGTTATTGCTTTGACTGATCAATCTTTCTTATTTCACCAAGTTTGTTTATTGATGACAGGCATGGAGTACGGCAAGGTGCACGTGCTGGACACGGTCATCAGTAACCTGGAAATGGACCGGCAATACTATCAGAAAGTAACTCTAAATTTCGTGGGTTATGATAGCCACCCGCACCCTCTGCTGCGTAGGACGACACCTCACGTGGACGGTGGAGCCTTCAGGCCAGTCTACGGCAAGAGGAAGAGACCCGAGGACACACCATCACGCGACGCAGCTGCTGCAGGAGACTGCGACTCGCCCGTCAAGCTGCCTCGAAAGCGAAGAAGGACGCGCAATTTGACGGCGCCTCGCGAGAATTTGGAGACTCGAATAGGCGCTCCTGGACCTGATGGTTACAACTTAGGCTCATGTGGTAACAAGGCGATGTACACTAAATCTAGAGAGTCTATTGATGAGCCAGTGCATTATTACCACATGTTGCGGAGAGAAGAAGAGACACAAGGTGTCATAACTCATCAGGCTTCTGATTTAGTGAGGCTGAACGAAGGTGAGCTCCATAAAAAGATTGAAGAAATCGTGGAGACGAGGGTGGAGGAGCAGGTGCAGGCGGCGCTAACGAAACATCTCGCAAGATTGGAGGAGGCAGCTGCTGCTGAAGCGTGGGTGTACGAAGACAAGACGAGTGATTTACGGTCAAAGCTGAGGAAGCGAAGTCATGAGCGTAAGGAGCAGCCGGCGGTGCCAGTGCACTTCAGGCTCGGTCAGAGAGAATAAGCAAAGTGAGAATAAACAGGATTTCTTTTGTTCAGTTGGCATCAGTCCCATCGCAGGAGTGAGATGACACGTCGCTCATCACACAGGATTTCGCAGGAATTTTAAATTCACGAAGAATTTAAGAAGAATCACGGATTCACGAAGAAACACGGAAAAATTCACAGAATATTTCACAAAGAAATTCACAGGAATTTTAAATTGAATTTCTAAGTAGGTAATTTAGTTCCAAAAATTCCAACTCAAATAATTACATGTTGTTTCCTTGAATTGAGATAGAGGATATTTGGAAAGGATTTGAATTCAATTTTTTTTTCAAATTGCAATTTATTAGAAACCTAATTTCAATTTATACCGTGCCAAGGACGATAGATGGCAATATTAAACAATCAAGGACTGCCCGCCTTTACGTATCCTCAAGGTTGGCCTGTTTCCGTTGCGCTGCGGAAGCTAATGCCTATAAGAAGGTTATTATGTCGTGACTTGCTCAGCTTTGTGTCCTAACCCGACGCACTCCTGATGTCTTTGCCAGCGTACCACTTCCTTTAATAAATTTAGATCATTCAGCTGTTTGAAAATAAAACGTAATTAGTTTATTTGCCTCCCTGATTACATCGTTGGAGTTCCGAGTATGAACGCGTTTAAGAACAGACTAGATAAAGCAATGGAAAAAAATATGTTCAGATTTGAAATGCCGAGCACCGTATCGAACCCGGTGGAAACCTAGTAAATATTTCAAACTATCGACAGTTTTGCAAAGATCCGGTCGAAGGACCTGTTTTTCGATCTTCTGTTGACAAGTCACGAAAAGTGCAAGAATCGGCGACAGGCTACATATCAGGCTTACTCTTCAGCGCCGACATCGCTTTATTATGTTATGATACTGGCAAGTTATATACTGGTTCTAGCATGATTTTCAATGCAACACTTTGTATATATACCGACTCTAGTTCAGTTGTCAGGCATTTAGATTTGATTAGCGACTATCGTGTATCCGTAGATAATTCGATGAAATGTTGAAATGTGCTTTACGAGGCTACCTTCATCCTGAAAATCGAGGAAAAAGGTTCACGATCCTGTAGTTCAGATCAGTCGAAACTCGATCATGTTGGTTGACGTTTGATAGCTAAAATTATTTTCATATTTCGATGGCAGTGAAATATTAATGTAAATAAGGAGCAATTTGCGATTGTTCAGGAAACCTGACTGGAGTAGAATGAAGTGAGCTTGCTAACTGACCCTGGATTTCCAACGCAGGCTATCAGAACTGAATTCTCAAAAATTTGCGGACGAGAGGCAAAACAAATAGTTCTATATCTCAGGATATTATTAATTATAAGAAGAGGATATTATTAACTAATCGATAAGGATACGAAACAACAGTTCAGGTGCAAGCCTCTCTTCTAGCGCTGTTTAGAAGTTTTCTCCTTTCAATAGAACGATTCAAAGGTACCAATGAAGTTTCATTCGAAGATAATATTGCAATTTTTAAACAAATTTCCTCGGCAAGTTCTGACCAATAACAGACAATAAGATAAGGTATGTTAATTTTGATGGATGTCGCTGAACCGGATTAATTGTTCGTTTTNGGAAGCACAATATCTTTATTGAAGTTCGGTAGGGAGTTAGCGTGATTTAGTCTGAGTTGTTGAAGTTTAGCTTTCTGTGAAGCGTATGAAGAACTGCAGCGTTCGATTTCGTGTCGGACAGCAACGTTGGAGTTTGTGTCGAATTGCAGAGTTAGATTTAGTGTCTGACAGCAGCGTTGGAGTTTGTGTCGAACTGCAGCGTTAGATTTCGTGTCGAACAGCAGCGTTGAAGGTTGTATCGAACTGCAGCGTTGGAATTTGTGGCAAAATGCAGCGCTGGAGTGTGTCTGACAAATGTCGGCGTTCACGTGACAACTCCGACACTGAGGACACTGCGAGGAGCTCATGTGCTGGTCTCAGGCTTGGCGAGCTGTGGCTGCGGTACTGCACGCTGAGCTCATAAACATGCAATACACGTAGGAATATAGAGACTTAGACATGAAACTATTAAATAATTTATATAAAAGCCCCCCGGAGGTGCAGCGTCTGCTGGTCTTTCTGTACGAGCAGCGCGCCGGACGCGGGCAGAGGGAGACACGCGCGCCGAGGTCGACGGGTGGACGGAGAAGGAGGAACAGGGAGTTCTCCGTGTGTGCGTAGGACTGCACTGTCGTAGTTTTCTAAAGGGAAGAGATTGGTATTTTCACATCACGAAAATTAAAACTCATCATGATTGCGACCAACTTCTACCGCGCTTCTCAGCGTTAGTAATTCCAAACAACTTATAGATTACAATGGTGAACTGTTAAATGTTTAGCTCTTCAACGACTAGGAGAACATTTTATTTAAAGCAATAGAATCGATGATGTAGTCCATCTATGACGGTTGGATAAATAAAATTTCTGTCATCGTTTGAATTAGATTTTCATTGTCGAGGTTTGCCTCATTTAGAAAAGCGATTTTGTTTCTCTGCTTCGTGATGGTAACACTTTTTCTATAGAACACGCAGCAATTTTGTGTATCACGTTATGCCGGTCGGCAAACCTGCATTGTCGTGTACAGAGGATATTTGAGCTTATATTTGTACATTCGTTTGTCCTCCACTTTTGCCTTTTATTTAGGCTCCACTATTGTTCTTGATTCCAGTTTTGATTAAAAGCTTGCTAATAGTTTCAATTCGAAAATTCCCCAGCTATTCCAACGCGACACTCAGTCAGCGCCTCTAATACTGAGTTGCGTCGTCCCAAGAAATTTGAAGCGTCCTTAGAAATTTAAAGAACTCAGAATGTGTTGAGATCGTCCTTAGCTTCCCTAAGTCAAGATCGTTTAGGAATACCATAACTCTATTTCTTAGATTATATGCTGCAAAAAATTAATTAATCATTACTGTATCGGCTCGATTGTAAGACCCTATGTTATTTATGTTATATCAATAAATATTCGATGGATATCGGAAAGACCAGGTCGCCCGCAAATACATTCAATTCTGTATATAACTATGGCAAAAACAAACGATGGCAAATTCAAACAATTTTCACGAGCGAAACATTATCGTCATTTCCTGATGAATACGTGTAAGTTCATTAGTTTGAGAGATATTCCTTGATCATTGAATTTGGAAATTGGCCGTGAGACCGGCCGTGAGTCCGGCCGTTAATTTGTCCGAGACGTAAACCCAGGAGAGGTTAAAAAACAGATCTGGATGGAAAAAATCGCTGGGAGCCGTGTGCTGCACGTGTTGTGTACAAATCTTCAAACAAACATTCGAACTTCTGACATTGACTTCGGACTACCGCTCCCCTTGTCTCGCCCCCCAACCGCCCTCTTCTTCCTTACCGCCCCCAAAATCTTTCCACCGCCCCTAGGAGGGCGATATTGCCCACTTTGGGCACCACTGCGCTCTAGACTTATTCATTTCAACTGGACGCCGAAGACATCAATGTTAAAGCTCCAACTTATAAACCTAGATTATCCTAAACTGTAAGCCGAACTATAATCAGGTCTTCATAATCAGGTCAAACCGAACCAACCATCAGGTCTTCATTTAATTATTATATATATAAGGTGCAGAGAATAGCAACCTCTTAGGCTCTTACAGTAGTTCAGCAATTGGTATTAAGGTTAAGTCGAGTAAGGTTAACTATATATCTTGTGAACCTCGTATTAGTATGATAAAGGTTCATGTTAACTTCATTAGAAGTTAACATAGAAAGATCTGCCAATACAAGAATCTAAAACTAGAATATTATTCCACTTCATTTAATTCGTTCGGCAAGCATCTCAGATAAGGCGACCATTTCACTGCATGTAATGCATGCCTCGTATTTCTGCTACGATCCTGCTGAACGTCTTCAAGATGATCCCCTTGACCTGAACCCAAGTTAAAGAACATTTTATAACGTTAACTTATTGCTCAATCACTAGTGAAACTCGCACTAAAACCTGTATAACTATGGACAATTTAAGAAAGTTAATCAGAACAAACGAAATCTTACAATGCATATAAGCTCTGATAATAGTCATCAAATGATGGGGGATTTTTGAACTGCGTGCTCATATTAATTTGTAACAATTGATAAAAAGTATAAATGCGCTAAACGATTTATTGCAATACGTCTTAGCGAGTAAAATATCTCTTATAATTTGCAGGCATCTTACATTCATATGCGTTCTTCGACGAAGCAAACTTATGGCAATATAAAGGCCAAAAATTATGTGTCACCGATGAGAAGTTCTAATAAAATTTGTGTTGATATCGAAACAATGTCACGATATTTTCCTGGACTTCCTCCTAATTGTATTAATTTACTTTCGTCTTGTTTGCATATAGCAATAAAGGCAATAGACGTTTCTTCTGGAAATTTTAGCTTCCTGTTAAAATTTTTGCGCCCTTGAGTTGGGAGTCTATAATTGGTGACTATAAAGCGAGGTCATATCTGTGTAAATTTGAACTGTAAAATGAAAGCTTGCTTCAATTCGCTTTAATGTAATTTGAGTTTTGCGTTGTCCTTCAACCCTTGCAAACGGCCATTTAGATGCAGCAAGCCAGACGTGCGCCGGCTATTCAGTTGTTGTGGTATCGTTCCGGTGTTCGACGACGTCAAGTTATCAGGTCTTCCTGTCTCAACTTATTAAATATGAAACAGCTTATGAAATAATATGATTACATTCTGAAATATGAAGCGTAACAAATTCGATACACTAGGAAATAAATGTATGATTATCAGACTAGTTTATTTCTTCTTATAAAGCACACATGCATAACGATATCCTATGAAATGAGAGTTCATGGAAGAGATCCTTTAATTATACAAACACAGATTCATTCTGATATATCATTGCATGTTTATACTTCTTATTGATTGGTAAAATCGGCATTGTCTTTAGTCGGTAGGAATTTATGTTGAAAAGAAGTTCGATTTAATAGCGCTAAGAACCTGCAGGGGCAGCAACGTGAGCATTATCACCTACTTATATTACTACAGGTTGATCTTTTGGCTTCATATAGGAACGTGATGACCCAGCAGGCATCCGACGTTGAAACAACGTTGATTATTGGTTGATTTCAGGTTGAAATGTTGAACAACCAAAATTAAACGTCTTATCAACGTCGAAATCTGACCAACACTAGAAGGGACGTAAAACAACTTTATTTTAACGTTGAAATAACGTCGATATAAGTACGTTGAATTTTTACTAATTTTTAAACGTTGAGTCAATGTTGATTTCACGTTGAAATGCTGAACAACCCACATTATACGTCCATTCAACGTCGAAATCTGACCAAGACTAGAACGGATGTAAAACAACCTTATTTCAACGTGGGAATAACGTCGATATTGGTACGTTGAATGTTTACTAATTTTTA